TAGTCCTGTTTCTGATGTGGGGAGCTTTGGATAACTGAGCTCTGGATAGCCAAGGATGCAAAGCCATGGTACAGTTGCTTTGCACCTTCTGAGTGGAGCTCTGTTCCTTCCATACCTAATGACTGCAACATGAGGTGATGGAGCTCAGCACTTTGTGGGAGGAGTTGAGCCCTTGGTAGGATGGGGTTCTGAGGCTACACAGGGACTAGAGGTGGGAAAGCCCAGAGAAGTGTGGGAAATGTTAGATCTCTTTAAATTCTCAAATATAAATGGAACAAAACCTTTAAGAGAGGCTGCTGCTCTCCTACATTGTTATGCTCAAAGTGGAATCCCTTGTTTGCATCCTACTGTCTATATGTAACAATGTTTTGATAAAAGAAAAGGAGTACTTGTAGCACCTTAGAGCCTAACCAATTTATTTGAGCATGAGCTTTCGTGAGCCACAGCTCACTTCATCAGATGTATACCGTGGAAACTGCAGCAGACTTTATATACACACAGAGAATATGAAACAATACCTCCTCCCACCCCACTGTCCTGCTGGTAATTACCAGCAGGACAGTGGGGTGGGAGGAGGTATTGTTTCATATTCTCTGTGTGTATATAAAGTCTGCTGCAGTTTCCACGGTATACATCTGATGAAGTGAGCTGTGGCTCACGAAAGCTCATGCTCAAATAAATTGGTTAGTCTCTAAGGTGCTACAAGTACTCCTTTTCTTTTTGCGAATACAGACTAACACAGGCTGTTCCTCTGAAACCTGTCGAAATGTTTTGATAGTGTCGTCTCCATGCATATCTAGTCCTGAGTCTTTTCAACTGAAAGTTTTGTTTTGGTGGCAGTGATCTGACAGATGCTGTCATAGGTTATTCTGAGCCCACCAAACTTGCTTGATATAGTGCACTGAAGACTGAAAAACTTTCTAATGGTAGTGGACTGGCCTGGAATGAAACTGATGACCTAGAGGTCAGCCTCTTTATCCAGTTACCAACTCATCCACTTCTTTTAATTTCAGTTGGCTGAGCTGAGCTCCCACTGTTTCGCATAATGCTCCTGCAGCCTGTCCTCGGGCCATAAATCTGTGTTATGCTCTCAGTAAGGTGGGATGCTGCAGATAAAGGGTCTGGTCTGAGTGTTAACCATTTCAGTGCTTGTTTTCCTGCCAGAATTTATTTCCAACGTGTGTTTTTCTCTCCCTTCTCCTGGTACCCCTGGGTTGTTGTGGGTTTTGTACTTACACTAATCCAGACCCTATTTTCTATCCTTAATTTCACTTTGGTCTTATTCAAAATCAGTTTGTTGTGGAGCACTTCTCAGCTCTTAATGAAAGCCATTTGTGAAAAAGCCACCTGAAACTTCTTCTAAACCAATTACTGTTGTTAAACGTTTGTGGAACCTATTCCACTGGGGCCAGGTCTATGCTACACACTTGCATCAGTATAACTAAGTTGCTTACGGGGTGTGAATGGCATAGTTATACCAACCTAAGCCCTGGTGTAGGCAGCATATGTTGGCGAGAGAGCTTCACCTGTCGACATAGCTACTGCTTCTTGCAGAGGTGGATTAACTACCCCGACGGGAGGTCTCCCATCGGCGCGGGAACATCTTCATTTAAGCACAACAGCGGCAGTGCAGCTGCCCTGGTGCAGCTGCCCCAGTGCAGCATTTTAAGCATAGACCTGCCCTGAGAAACTGGAGTAGATCTGAGGGAGGAATCAAGGTGATTATTGTGGTAGTTGCCACAAGCTTTGTAATAAAATAGGCTCCATGCATTTGCATGGACTTGAGCACAGGGAAGACTTTGGAGATGGCAGATCCAACTAATTTTTTTTTTAAAATTGACCTCATTTTTATAGTGCGCAAGAGGGTGGAGTGATACCTGGTACCTGAAACCCAATTGGCTGTGAATAGCAGTCTTTTGTTACAGCCACCCATTTCAATGCACATCTCTCCCTCATTGTAACTGTGATGGGACTTGGTATCTGTGTTCTCTTTTCTGTCTATCTTCCCTGTTCTCCTCACTGCTCTTTCTTTCTTTCCTTTTTACTGTACCTTTTATTTTATTCTATTTTGCTGTATATTTTTTTGTTTCTTCCATTCACCAGAGGGTTACGTGATACTCTGAGTGGAGAGTCCATTGGTATCATTTTGTTCCTTCGCCCCATGTGGCTGTGGTGTGCATGCTTTTGAGGTTGAACTTGAGTGTCCTGGGAACAAAGAGAAGTTCAGGCTGGTAAGCTACTGCTTGAGCCTGTAATCCAGTGCAGTTAGGTACCACAGCTGGAGGAGAGGAGACCATGGTAACTTTCAAAGAGCTTCCCTTTGCTTTAGCCGCATTTATAGGACATATTTGCAGTAAAGGTGTGGGGGTATCAAGGGTCATGCAGCTTCTCTCCCTCCCCTCACCACCCAGATGCTCTTTTCCTATGTCTCTCCCTGGACCAATCTGGTGCTTCCATGGGTCACACCCCCAGCTGGAAAATACAGCATTGTATGCTTCAAGCAAGTGCTCATGTGACTCCAATGTAGATGTCTCTGGGCCTTGAAATGCTTAAGAGTCCAGCATGAGTAGTGACATCGGATAATGGCAAACTAGGTGCTAGTTCTAGGGATTTCTGTTTGGCAAATATCTGCTCACAGTGCCACGCAACGCAAACAACTACTGAATGTTTTGTGTTGCTCCTAGACATTTAGGACCTAATTCTGCAGGTGATCTCTAAGGAGTATCTCTAAGGTGCCACAAGTCCTCCTTTTCTTTTTGCGGATACAGACTAACACAGCTGCTACTCTGAAACCTTACCACTGTGAGAAGTCCCTTTGAAGCCAACAGTTCAAACTAGTGGAGTTCAGACCAATGGGACAACTTACAGGACTAAGCTCTGTGTTCATTATCAGGTTCTTAGATTGTAAACTTCTTGAGGCAGAGAACTTTTCTTTCTCTGCGTAGTGTAAATCACTGAGCAAAGTGTCAAAATTTTACTAATGCATAGCTATCGTCCTAATGCAGTGTAGCCAACTCTCCTGATTTTGTCATGAGTCTCATAATTATTGTTTTCCTTAAAGCCGCAGCTCATGGAGACAAGTGGGTATATGACCATTTCAGCTTTCATTCTTACAGAAAAAGTAAATTTCTACCTGTGTAGCTGTGGAGAAAGCTCCAAAATGTGACCCGAGTGCGCCCTAAAGGCTTCAAAAGCAGATGTCAAATAAAAAGAACCCCAAATCTAATATTTTTACATAATATCATGGTTTTAAAGCCAATATCATGATTTTTGGTGAGCCTGACTCATGATTTTTGAACATTTTGGGCTTGGCAATACTGCTAATGATTTGCTGCCTCAGGCAAACCATCTATTCTGTAGAGTATTTGCCTTGCTAATACATGTCATTCAGGATGATAGCTCAGACTGCCCTGCAGGTTTGAGGGGGAGAGCTGCTGAAAAATGCCATGCATGTGTTTTGGTTTTGCTTTTTGTCTTCATTCATAGATGATGATCAGAGAGCATTATTTTTGTAGGGGTACCTGCATTTTGCTCAGTTACAGCATGGCTTTAGAAAACAGGCTATCAAAGGAGCTGTCTGATGGATCAGACACCTCTGACAGCCAAAGCTGAAAGGCAGAAATACACACACAAATGTAAATGTCTGTTTCCTCCCTGGATAATTTCTGCTTCAAATTAACAAGAGATTTCAGGCAGGATGGTACTAGAAAGAGAGCCTTTTTCTGGAGATTACACACCCAGCCTCCTGTCCTGCCCTATATGACCATCTACTGGGAGCAACTGTATGGGAGAAAAGTGATCCCATTGGTCCATATTATTGCTTAAGCAAAGCTTAGGTGGCACCTAGGATCAGGCTGAATATCATGTGCTGTGTCTTACAAAAGGGAAAATACCTGGATATTTTTAACTTGTGTATTCATGTCTCCTTTTCTCTTCCAGATGAGCTGATCTACACTGAAGTGTCGTAATGGCGTCCACGGACACACCAAGCAGCACCAATGGGTAGGAATTAACCCAATGTAACACTGGGCACACTCTTCTCTTTTACTTTTTAAACTAATTTTCAGATAGGTTCAGATTTAACCTCTCTTCATTCATTTTGAGACTGGTTGTGAGGGGGGAAACCGATTTAAAACAAAACAATCTGCTGTTTTTTGTAAAAGCCAGAGATTACTGTAACTTTCTGCCATATAAGTGCAATGTAAAATAAAGAATTTGACACCCACTCTCAGTGAGGGGAAAGACTTATCCAGCAGCACCAAAGAACAGTGGCCACAAGTTCTGCAGGTTTGGTAAGTGGGGTGGGGCCCTATCGTAAAACACATACAGTGGTTTGATCCCTTCCCCAGGGTAACTGAGAGAACTTGATGCACCCTTTTTCAAACAATTATCTGCATGAGGTTGATTGTGCCATTAAAATGCATTGCTTCTACCCTGTCTCACTCATGCATATGGAGGGAGAGCTCAAGGGCTGTTCTGACCTGAGGACTGAATCCTGCAGGTGCTGAGCGTATCCCTTGGAGGAGCAGGAGGCAGGGGGAAGATGTGTTTAGGATCACTTTAGCAAACAAAATGTATCCATTTGTCTAAGGTATTTAGATGGCCCCCATCACGGTAGTATCTGATCACCTTTCATACATTTATCCTCCCAACCCCTCTGTGAGGTAGAGAAGTGCTGATATCCCCATTTTACAGATGGCAAGCTCAGGCACGCAGCCCAAAGTGTCACAGGAAGCTGATGGTGGAGCAGGAAATTGAATCCAGGCCAGCTCCCTAATTACTAAGCCCTCCCTTAACCTCTTATCTAAAATTAATCTAGCTTTATTAATTTTTTTCATTAAAATGGCATAGATATGCAAGAAACGTCCTCTTTGTATTCAGATATCCATGTCTGGATACAATGTATAACAGCATGGACAAATAAAAAAAATGGTGGGGATTTATTCGATCACTATCCTGCATACATCTCTGCCAAAGCCAACAAGGTATCTAAACCTCTCTAAGTTAATTGTAACCATTTAGGAAAGTGCATATATTGCTTGTGGAACATCTTTAAAGTATTCGGACCCCCTATGAATGAGAGTGAGGTAACACCAAGCGATGTGATAGGAATTCCTGACGATGGCTGCAAAGAGCCAGTGGGGTGCAGCCTGCGAGATAGTCTGGTTCATGGGCGGGCATGGGTCTTTTTTTAAAAGCTGTTTCTTTTCATTGAAATATTGAACCAGTGATTGGCTATACCCCTCCACGTCCCTCTTGCTCAGGAATATCTTTTATTTTTAACATCTGCAGAACACTTTTAAACAACTGTGTGCATTCATAAACTCTGTTACTACAGTCAAAATAGTACTTCACTTATATTTTCCCCTTTCAGGACGATTCTCAATGTCCCTGTTTTCCACTACCAGGTCTAGAGTTGTCCTCCACCTGTGCGGGGCAGGCAAGGACATCTGATTAACATTTATACAGTGCTACTCGTGGATTAGCCGACAGACATGCGCTATGGCAGAGATGTTGTTGTCACAGGCCCCAGTTCAGCCAAGTGGTGGAACTTTTAAGTATGTGCTTAAAGCTAAACCCATTCCAAAGTGCTTTGCTGAATCAGGGCCATACATATCTTCTCCACCTCACCCAGCTTCCTTCCCACCATTGGCCAGCAGTATTGCTATCACTCACAATCCACAGCCTTCGTTGTAGCCATGTTGGTTCCAGGATATTAGAGAGAGAGAGAGAGAGACAAGGTGGGTGAGGTAGTATCTTTTATTGGACCAACTTCCATTGGTGGAAGAGAGACCAGCTTTAGAACTTCACAGAGCTCTTCTTCAGGTTTGGGAAATCAGTGTGTCACAGTTAATTAGAAGTTGCAACAGATTGTTTAGCATAAGTATTTAACACACATTTCAAGGGACCATTCCAGAATAAGACGGAGAATATGTTATTGCCCTTATATAAATCCATGGTGCGCCCACATCTTGAATATTGCATACAGGTGTGGTCCCCTCATCTCAAAAAAGAAAAAACTGGCATGAGAAAAGGTTCAGAAAAGGGCAACTAAAACAATAGGGGTTTGGAACGGGTCCCATATGAGGAGAGATTAAAGAGGCGAGGACTTTTCAGCTTGGAAAAAAGGAGACTAAGGGAGGATATGATAGAGGTATATAAAATCATGAGTGGTGTGGAGAAAGTGAATAAGGAAAAGTTATTTACTTGTTCCCATAATATAGGAACTAGGGGCCACCAAATGAAATTAATGGGTAGCAGGTTTAAAACAAATAAAAGGAAGTTCTTCTTCACTCAGCGCACAGTCAACCTGTGGAACTCCTTGCCTGAGGAGGTTGTGAAGGCTAGGACTATAACAGGGTTTAAAAGAGAACTGGATAAATCCATGGAGGCTAAGTCCATTAATGGCTATTAGCCAGGATGGGTAAGAAATGATGTCTCTAGCCTCTATTTGTCAGAGGGTGGAGATGGATGACAGGAGAGAGCTCACTTGATCATTACCTGTTAGGTTCATTCCCTCTGGGGCGCCTGGCATTGGCCACTGTTGGTAGACAGGACACTGGGCTGGATGGACCTTTGGTCTGACCCAGTTTGGCCACTCTTATGTTCTTATGTCTCTATTCAGTCCATGATGCTTAGTGTCGAGCAAAGTTATGAACTTAAACACCCAGGCTCATCTTTTGAAAGTATTCTGCAGGTTTCCTTTGGGAATGAGTTTGGCTAGGTGAGATATAGAGTGATCGCTTTGTGAAAAGTGTACATGCATAGGTGACAGGGTGTTTCTGTCTTTTTATCATTTTCCTTAGTGAGTTCACTGGAGAGCATAGTGATTGTCTGGTTTCACCCACATAGTTGTTGTCAGGGCATTTGGTGCACTGGTTGAGATATGCCACATGTTGGAACAGGGATGTGTAGGACCCCGGGATCTTGAAAGGTGTGTTGTGGGGACGTGTTGATCATTGTTCAAATGGAGATGTGTTTGCAGGTTTTGCATCTGTTCTGGCAGAGCTTGCTTCTGATGATGAGTTTGGAGAGATTGTGGGGGTTGTTTGAAGGAAGAGGGGGATCAGGAAAGATTTTTTTTTTTTGAGGACTGGGTCCCCATTGAGTATGGGTTGTGGTTGTTTGATACTCTTTTTGGGTTCCAGTTTGGGCTGGTAGGTGACAATTTAGGGTGTGTGGTCGGAGGGGGTTTTATTTCTGTATTGAAGCAGGTTCTCTCATAATGCGATCCACTAGAGAAGTCGAGTGTCATTGTTTTTTGAAGGCAGTTTTGAGTGTGTTAAGGTGTATCTCATCTGAACACATTCTGTGGTATCTGAGTGCCTGGCTGTAGATACAGATTTCTTGGTGTATTTGGGTGGTTACTGGGTCTATGAAGGTTGCTGTGGTGGGCCGTAAATTTCTCTTATACATGGCTGTCTGTAGACTTTCATTCTTGTAGCTGATCATGGGGTCCAGGCAGTTGGTACTAGTATGGGAGTGTTTGAGAGAGAGTTTAATGGACAACGGGTGGTGGTGGTTAAAGTTTGTCATCTGTGCAGAGGATGAAAAGACCACGGATGTATCTCAGGTATATCATTGGTTTTGTGGTGCATTTGTCCAGAAATTCTTCACTGTGGCCCATGAAGAGATTGTCTTATTGGGAGCCGTCCTACTACCCATGGCTGCTCCCATGGTTTGGACAAAGTCTTTGTTGTTGAATGTAAAATTTGTTATATGTGAGGATGAAATGGATGAGTTTGGCGATGTATTTGGGGTGGATATCTGCGGGTGGTCCATTGTCTTGTAAATATTTGAGGCAGGCAGCTATGCTGTCATTGTGAGGGATGTTGGTGTACAGAAGGGGTGGCCAAACTTACAGACCCTCTGAGCCGCATATGATAATCTTCAGAAGTTCGAGAGCCGGGAGCACCTGCTGGCGCTTGGAACTTCAGCCCCACAGCAAGGGGATCCTCAGAGCTTCAGCCCCACAGGAGCCCCAAGCCCTGGCATGCATACCCCATGGGGCTGAAGCCCCACCACCCAGCTGCCGGGAGAAGCCCCGAGCTTTCCCCCACCCAGTCTGGTAGGCAGAGAATGGGGAGCAGGGCATGGGGGTCTCTATGAGACACACTTTAACTGTAAAAGAGCCACATATGGCTCACAAGCCGGGCTTTGGCCACCCATGCCTTATAGGGAAGTGACATCCATGGTGGTAAGGATGGTGTTTTGAGGGAGGTTTTTAATGTTTCAGAGTTTGTGGAGGAATGAATGAACTTCCACAGGAAAATGATAAAAGACAAAAACACCATATCACCTATGGGTGAACACTTTTCACAAAATGATCACTCTGTATCTGCCCTATCCCTCCTCATCTTCAAGGAAACCCACACAATACTTTCAAAAGACAAGCCTGGGAGCTTAAATTCATAATTTTGCTAGATGCTAAAAATAATGGACTGAATAGAGACACGGCATTTATGGTTTATTACAGCAATCTATAACGCACTAACAACTCCCTCTCCCCCTCCCCCCCCCGGCTGTCCCCTCTTACTCCACCCCACCCCACCCCCGTGACGGGAGGGGTCGCTTCACATTGAAAGGTGGCTTAAAATATATGTTAACTACTTAAGATAAACAATCTGTTTCACCTGGTATTTTTCATTGTGACATTTTGAGGCTGGGCACACTACAGACCTACATCCCTCCTGTTTCCCAGCTCTGAATAACTCTTTGAAAGCTCAAAAACTTTTCTCTCTCCAATAGAAGTCGATCCAATGAAAGATATTACCTCACCCACCTTGTCGCTCTAATCCACAGCCTTATTTACCTAGTTAAACTGGCTTTTCATGTCTCCTTGCACTCTTGGGTTTCAGTGCGTTGCTGGCTTTGCAGCTCTACCTTGAGGAAGCAGGACTGTGGGGTTTACAGACTGAGGGCATGTCTTCACTAGCAACGTTACAGTGCTGCCGCAGCAACGCTTTGCCGCGGCTGTGTAGTCACGGCACGAGACAGCGCTGGGAGAGAGCCATCCCAGCGCCATAAAAACACCCCACTCCACCAGGGGAATGGGGCTCTCTCTCCACTGGCGCTTTACAGCGCTGGAACTTGCAGCGCTCGGGGGGGGGGGGGTGTTTTTCCACACCCTGAGCGAGAAAGTGGCAGGCTGTAAAGTGCCAGTGTAGACAAGCCCTTATTTTCTGTACCTGGGATGCTATCTAGTGTAAGGTGCTGTGGCTTCCTACCCTCCTTCCCACGCTTACAATAGCAACGTAAGGGCGTGTGCCTCCTGCTAGCTGTAAAACCTGTGGCGTGGGGAATATGACCTTACCTAGCAACTTAGTAGTGTGTAATTGTCTCTTTGTTGTTTGAAAGGAGAAGCACTGAGAGGACTCTGGAAGGATCCCAGTATTGTGATTAAAGGGCTGAATCTACTGTAAAGAGAAGATGTAAAATGATAAAATGGGCCTTCATTTCAGCATGTCGGGATCACTGCTTAAGTCCTGAATTTCATGTCCCCTGACTGGGCACACAGGAGCAGCAAGCCACAGACAGTACTTTGGATTCTAATTGTGTGGGGTTTGTGCTTCAGCATCAGAAAAATATTAATTTAGTTAAGAAAGAATCGGCCTCTGAGTGAAAGCAGGAGGCAGTGTGATGGGTTGCTTGGCGATGCCACTGAGGGAAATACAGGGTGAGACCCCATTTTGCTGAGAAATTATTGGTGGTTTTGAGGAGTGCAGCTTGGCATAATATTGGATGCATATGGAAGGCTCACTCATTCCTTTGAAAAGGTCATTCGCTGACCTGGTGCCAAGAACCCCTTGGCAAATAAAAAAGGCTACTGCATGTCTGCTTCAGCTACTTGGAAACACAAACATAATGTGTCTGACCCTTTTCACCTCAGAGTGAAAAGGAATCGCCAGTGGTGGTAAACGGTGGCAATTCTTGTAAACAGAGCTGGGAAAAGACCTTTTAATTAAGACAGCACTGACTCTGTAGAAGTGAGAGTGAGGGTGTGGGTAAATGGTGGTGTGTGTGGTTTTTTCTTTTTAACCCATTACATTATTAATCCTTAAGTATAATGCAATGTTTGGAAAAATTGGTAAGTGCATGTTTTTGACCTACTTTTTCTGTGTATAAACAAATATTCTCTTACTGTGAATGTGTTATCAAAAGGTTACCTATGCACTTCATGAGTATTTAATAAAATGGATGACACTCCTTCATCTAACTAGGGACATGGGTTGGAGTCTCTTTCTCTCTTCTTTCCTTAATGAGTGGATGCTTTTAAATTTAAACAATCTGACCAGTGGTGTAACAAGGTGTAAAGGGCCCTGGTGCAAGAATAAGTTAGGGCCCCCTTTCACGATTCTCCCACACATCTCCAGTTGAGCCCCACCATTTTCCTAGCTCTGCTCCAGCTCCCCAGCTCCACCCAATTCTGCTCCAAGTCCTCACCCCAGCTCTGATCTAGTTCCCCAGCACTCCCCTGCCCCATGCAAAGTGGACAATACTTTTACCTTGCACTCGGTCTTCGGGAAGGGGGTGCGTCTCTTGTCTCTGGGGCCTCCCACACATGCCTGGGTGCTGCAGTACCCTCTATGCCTCTTCCATGTGTCGGTGGCAATGTGGGAATTTTTCATAATATTTTTTGTGATGTATATGTATGCCTCAGTTTCCCCTATACTTTGCTTGGCTACCTGGTAGGGAGGAAAAGGATTGTTTGGTCTTACGGCAGGCTAAGAAGACATAGGTTTGTCTCACCTAGCTGTCTGTGGGGATGAAATGGGTCATTAATAAAGGACTGGCCAAGGTGGACCCGTATCAGTGGAAAATCTCAGAAGATGGTGGAAGGACATTGAAACATTGCTAACAACCCAGAGAGGGGGAAGATTTCCCCACCTCTCAGCAGGGAAGCTGAACAGAGACCCCAGCTCGAGAATGAAGGGGACTGGGAGGTTTAAAGTGGGGGAATAAATGTGGACTCTGGAAGAAGCGGGAGCTCTCACCTGGGAACTGACGAAGAAAGGGGAGAGAAACTCAGACCCTGAAAATGAAAGGTTCGCTCCAGCTTGGCTGGTGAATTGCTCTGGTTTGACCAGAATGAACGATTTAACCTTTGTCTCTATGCTAACCGAAGGACTTCCGGTGCTACATTCCAACTGAGTATCAATAAACCTTCCTGTTTTGAAGACACTGCTTGATCGTCACTGCAAATGCCGGGTGCTGTGCATTAGTCCCTGAAGGGTGTAGAAGTCTCTGACCAAGAGTCTGTCTCAGTTGGACAACTAAATAGCACCTTTACACAATTTGGTAGATCTTTTTGCTACCTATATACATTTATTTAAGCAATTATCTAGGATAATAATTTCAGATTTGTATTAATTGTACACTTTTAGTATGTTAGGAAATGGTGAATGATGTATTTCTTCTTTACTAGCTAATTAACTTTTTGCTCATGATTTGAGTCAAGCTGCTTCAGGATCATAGAAGACGGGTTGGAAGAGACCTCACGATGCCATCTAGTCCAACCCCCTGCTCAAAGCAGGACCAACCCCAACTAAATCATCCCAGCCAGGGCTTTGTCAAGCCGTTAAAAACCTCTAAGGATGGAGATTCTACGACCTCTCTAGGTAACCCATTCCAGTGCTTCACCACCCTCCTAGTGAAATAGTTTTTCCTAATATCCAACCTAGACCTCCCCCATTGCAACTTGAGACCATTGCTCCTTCTTCTGTCATCCTCCACCACTGAGAACAGCCTATCTCCATCCTCTTTGGAACCCCCCTTCAGGTAGTTGAAAGCAGCTATCAAATTCCCCCTCACTCTTCTCTTCTGCAGACTAAATAAGACCAGTTCCCTCAGCCTCTCCTTATAAGTCAGTGAAGACCCAGGCAAAAAAAGCATTGAGGACTTCAGCTTTTTCCACATAGTCTGTCAGTAGGTTGCCTCCCCGTTCAGTAAGAGTCCCACACTTTTCCTGACCACCTTCTTGTTGCTTACATACTTGTTGCTCACATACCTGTAGAAACCCTTCTTGTTACCCTTCACATCCCTTGTTGGCTGCAACTCCAATTGTGTTTTGGTCTTCCTGATGATAACTGGAATTTAATTAAATACACAACAGCATATAAAAATCATTTGTATTAAATAAAAGAACCTGAAATGTTTTGAATACATAAACTTCTTATATAAAAACATGCATGTTTACAACTAAATTATAATTATATAATTAAATATTAAATACAATTTTATATTTTGGGCTTAAAATATTTTGTATTAAATTCAGATTTAAATTTAAACAGGCTTATTTTTAAAAAAGAAACAATCATTTAAATAAAATTTTAAAAACATATTTAAATCTGATTTCAATTAAAAAAATGATTTGTATCCACTCTGACGCAGTCTCTTAGCTATGTGATCATATATCTTTTCCACAGAACGCTGCCTCATTCAGTGCACAGGGTGGATGGTGCTCACTTAATGAGCAACTGTTCAATATTTTGTGTTCTCCTCATTGTTCAGTGTGTGGCCCCATGCCTTATTTACTGCGTGTGATTCAAACCCTGCTCTGAAGACAGAATTAATAATTGTTTCATGGGCTCTTCTGTGCGGCTCATTGTTATACTATCTGAGTACTTCACAAACAGTAACTCATTTTCACAATACGCCTGTGAGGTGAAGGAGTGGTGCTATTATCCTTATTTTACAGATGAAGAGCAGAGGCAGAGAGATGAAGGTCAAAAGTTTCTACTAATTTTGGATGCCATGTCTCAATTTTGAGACAACTAGGACCTGATTTTTCAGAGTACTTAGCATTGTTTAGCAGTTTATATGTTCAAAGCACTGATCCTATTGACTTCTTTTCCATCTGTAAGTGTTCAGCACTCTTGCAAATCAGACCCTAGTGTGTCAAATCAGGCACCCAGAAAGAGTGGAGAACACAAATAGGGACCACTTGTAAAAAGTTGAGTTTAAGGGACTTGCCCTGCATCTCACAGGATTTCTGTAGCAGAGGCAGGGATAGAACCCAGTTTTCAAGGGCAGTGTTCAACACGACACTAGTTGTTTTTTTTTCCTGCCATTCCCTGCCTTGTTCATCACACACCTTCCAACTTATGCAAAAATTAGGCAGGTGTCTTACAGATAATAGCCTTCTTTCCTAAACAGCTGTGATTCATCCCTATAGCAGGTCCATCTTGTGCACTGAATGAGGCAGACATCCTGTGGAAAAATAGTGCATAATCATGTAATTAAAGGCTGTATCATAATGCAAACACACAAAGAGGCTAAATTAAGGTTGCACAGCCAACCTTCATTGGGGCATTTCCTAACTTTTGAGTGCTTGACTTGTGTACTGAATAGTGTTCTTTTAACATAATTTTTTATGCATAATTTCCTAGCTTTTTATAAGGAGAAAGCAAAAACAGAAATCAAATTATATGGCTTTATATTGACACCAACCTGGGTCTTCATCAGAGTTGGAATCTTAAGATCTACCACACAGACATCTGTCACTTGTGCTGTTGGAGTAACTGATAGCAGTAGTAGGTTGTCATCCTCTGTGTGGCCCAGCACCAGAGGGGGATGAGAGAGACTGTTTGTCAGTGGGTTTCTCGCATACTTGCCAACAGTAGAGGAATGACAAACTCAGAAATCATTGGTTCCATTCTAGACTCTGGAGGGGAATGTCCTCTGGTGGGCTCAGGCTGTTGTACCCATTCCTCCTCCCTCCTTAGCTTGACCTCTTCTGCTGCATCCCTTTCAATCTTCTCCTCCCAGTCTCCTTGCCCTGTCAGTCCCAGTTCTCCTTTCCCCTGCTTCTTGCCCAGTTTGTTTCTCTGTCCCCCTCCTCACACTTATCTTCTCTGTCCCCAGTGGCTTCCAGTCTCCCTCCTTGGGCTCATCATCTAGTTACTTTCCTCTGATCTCACAGCTCCTTGTCCCAGTCTCTTCAACCAGATACTCGTGGTTCTCCCCTTGCACCTTGTCTCCTTGTCAGGTTTGTCTTCTCCCACCCCCTTCCTTCCTCCTCTTTGGTTCTTAGTCTTTGGCATACACGCTGCTGTCAGGTGTCTGTTTCTGGCTCCCCAGTCCTAGTTTCCCCCTCTCCAGGGCCCTTGTTTTAATATACACCCTCCCCTGTCCTGTGACGCTCCCCAGGGTTGCGAGGAACTTCACCAATTGCTCTTAGTGTGGGGCACCCTCGTCTGTGCCTGCTGTGGATCAACTCCCTGAAAACAGCCTCTGGCAGCACAAGCAGTCCCTCTAGGCCTCCCTAGGGTTTACTTTCAGGCACACATCAACCCCCCCCTCCCCCCTCCCGAGTCCTCAGAGCCTTCCCTGAAGTGTCCAGCCCCTTATCCACTGGACACTCACAGAATTACCAGGCCCACTGTTCCCAAAGGAACAGAAAACACCGGCTTGTAAGATTCAGCTCACGATCAGCACTTAGCTTAACGCCACAGCACTGAGCTATATTTATAGTGAAACAAGGATAAGTTTATTATTAAATAATAATAGAGATTTCATAGAATCGTAGGACTGGAAGGGACCTCGAGAGGTCACTTAAGTGATAGTAAGAGAGAATATTGGAAACAAATGGTTACATACAAAACAAAATCATAACATGCTTTCTAGATACTAAACTTAACTAACAGGTTAACCTCCCATCTAAAGAAGTTTCATCTCACCGAAGTTCTCCCCAGTGTTTTTAGCCAAGCCTGGCTGAGATGCTTTTTTCATGAAGCAAAACCACTGTGCTTTTACTTCCTCTGTGAAGAGTGCCTGGGTGTCTTGTCTGCCTCCCAACCCTTTGAAGTGCACTTCCAGATAAGGTTCTCTCCCCTGCTGTTTTTCTCTTCCTGTTAGGTTGCATGTGAAGTTCTGAGGATCCTTCATTTGCATTCAGCTCAGACTTGTGATAAGCCCATTGTGAAGGAGACAATTTACATGTAAACAGATGAATAAACATCTGTCTGACACAAAACCTGCTTTTCACCTTTGCTGGTGATCAGCACCTTGATACAAAGACTCTTAAGAACATATATTCAGAATATGTATGTAACTCCTTACTCGATATCTGTATGTACATTTCACAATGATATTGATGTCCAGTGTGACACTGCTTCTTTTTGAGACCACATGCCATTCTTTGGTGAACTAGAATATACACACCAAACTCATGAGATTCCAGTAGCCCCCTCCCCGCTCTCTGTTTTGCCAGTTGGCATCAAGAAATTCTTGAGTCACAGTCTCCCAGGTCTGGTTCTTGTCTCCTCTGCATTTGAAGCAGGAAGCTTCCTCCTGCCTGGGCCAAGAGTAGAAGAGAGAGAGCCTCCCGGCTTTCGGTTTCAGTGCCTTAACCTAGCACAGCCCATAGCAGCCCAAAGCTCAGTCAAGGGCTAAAGCATGCCTAGTGCAGACAGAATCTACTTAGCTATGAAAGAGAACCTAGCTACTAAAAATCCAGCAAGACTCTACTGAGCAGATGGCAATTTTTCCAAGGCATATAACTTGGCCAAATTTGGGTGGATTTTCATAGGGATGGCAAAAGACATATCCGTGACACAAAGGCCAACCCCCCCCCCCCCGCCAAATTTTAATGTCTTGCTCCAGAGCATGGGTGCAGTAGACCTTCACAAAGAGGTCACCAGAATTTTTAACATAGGTAGAACTTATTTTTTCCTACGTTTGTTCCCAAGAATGTCTGAACTCTTTGGGCTGAAAAACTTTTAAAAAATAAGCCTGAGGCAAACATGGGACATAGTTAAAGTTTGATCAAGTTTTATAAGCAATTGAAAAGAGAGTCTTATAATGGGAAGTGACTGGTCACCAGCCCCACCTACGGTATATGTATTCTTCTCCCCTCACCTTTTGTATGGCACTTGACTTTTCAGACCGTAAGCTTTTATGTGCAGGGATGGTAAAGAATAAATAATTTTTAAGAGGAAATGTGCATTGCTTGGTTGGATGTTATTGGATGTTTATAGCCAGGAAAGAGGGTGATTCCCACTGGTCTCTTCCCTGCTCTGTTTCCATTATGCAAATTGTTTCCAACATGGAAGTGCTCACTCATGTGGCCTGGAGAATGAAAACATAAACAACAAATTTTCTTTACCTAATTACATCAGTATGTCAGACATTTATTTATATTTTCTTTCCAGGAGAAGAATTCAGTGAAGTATAAAAGAAATCTGGTAGTATTTTTTTAGTTGCTGATGAGTGTTCTTGAAATTAACTGATAAATAAAAAGGATTTAACAGTGTTTAAAATTGATCACAATATGTCCGTTTGTTATATTAACATTTTGGCCATCGATTGCTAGAGGGGGTTAGACTAGATGACCATCTCGGCAGGGGGTTAGACTATATGACCCTTGCAGTCCCTTCTAACCCTATGATTCTATGAAATACAATGCCTGATTCAAGTTACAAAAATATAAATTCCTTTTCAAATATTTAAGCATTTTATATAGTATGCAGCGTTGCTGTCCTTCAAATCTATAAGTACAACTCAACATAGCATGTTTCATTGTACAGAACTTTAAATGCCTTGATATCAAAGAATGTTAGTGTATGCATATCAATATGCAGAAAAGGCACATACATTACTTAAGATTGGAAGAAAATTATATCTTAATTCTTTATGATGCCACATGTCTATGGAGAACGGTGCTGCTTGTCAGCCTACAGGTTTGCCTAGAATTTTAAAAAATATATATTTGAGTCAATGTGAGTGCTCGTTAAACAAGGGGAAATAATAGAGCTGGTTTCAACTAGGGGCAGAGTAGCCGGGTATTGTGAAGAATGACCTATATGGCTTTGCCCGTATTCGTTCAATCAGACCTGAATCACCCATGTTCTTCCAGTCCTGGGCCTCTCTTGAGCAGATTTGAAATAGATCTGAAGGAAAGGAAGCTGATCACATAATTTAGTGGTATTCTCTCAAAATCTCCCCTCCCTCTCCCCCCCCCCAAATGTTTGGTACACACCCCCACGTATGTACTGGAAAATAAATGGTCTCTGGTCCTTTAAGTAGGAGATCTGGCTTTTAATTAAAGCTGGCTGGGTTGTTCCTGCTTGTCTTAGAAGTCATGTTGAGCCACTGTTTGCTTCCTTGAGGAGAAGGATGGTTTTGTGTTTAAAGTAGTTGGAGTTGTAACCTGGCATGTTCTAATCCCAACACTGCCACAAAATAGCTGTGTGACAGACGTTCGTCTACTTGCTTAACAACTTTGTGCCACAGTTTTACCCATTTGTAAAATGGGGATACTTCACTAACTTCCCAACAGGTAGTGGGACTTAATTCAGGAGTAAAGCTTTTAGTAACCCTTGGATGGAAGCCACTACAAAAGAGTGCAATAAAGGATTCCCTATAGCCTTTAATTAGCCAGAAAACAAAGGTTTGCATAGCTTCTCTGGGTATTAGCAGAAATCCTTTGCTTGCAATTAGAAGTCCTATTTCATAATCATTTGAGGGCTATATCTTACAACTAGGCTACTGGAAAATTATTTGGGTTTTTTAGCATGGGAGAGAAAGCCCAAGACAATTTTCAGATTTTTGTAACAAGATTTGCAGGCTGCAGTGACGAAAAATCCAGCTGGTTGGTAAATTTTGACTGATACTAACAGTTCATTTTTATTTAATGATATTGTGACAATCCTAAACGTGAACTGAAATGCTATAAAAATAAATACAAAAGATCCTAAATCATTAAACGTAAACCACCAACTTGAAATCTACACCTACCCCAGCCTATCACATTTCCTTTTAAAAAAAATTCTTTTATCTGCAAAAAAGATGCATGCAAAGAGATGAAACTGAACGTACACACACAGCTTTCAAATGTGCAAGTAAACTGAAAATGATAGATTTCCACCCCCAATTTCTTTTCATGTTGAAGATCTCAGGTGTTATCTGTAACTGTAAGCCCTGAGGGCAGAGCATATCTTTGGAAAAACCCTACCATACTTTTGGCATTACTGCGTTCTAAATTACGATAATGGTGTGTTTGATTATCAGCATTTTTGGGTTATATTTAAAAACAAAAGTTCCTTTCACTGGTTAAGCAATTTCTGTTCTCAAATTCCAAATTTTTTTGTCCTCCACATCTTTTCTCAAGCAAGACGGATGAATTGGTGGGGAGGAGCGATGGGTAAACTTGAACGTGGATGTGGGGTTTCTTTTGTTGCCCTAATGGAAATAATTGTATTGACGGCCAAGGCTGGGTGTATTTGGAAAGTCTTGAAGTTGAATAAGGCAATGTGGAGGATTCTGCACTGGGGTCCGGAGACCTGACACTGGCTCTGCTAAACTGACTTATTATGTGGCCTTGGGCAATGTACCTTGCCTTTCTACCACATCCCCATTTTAGAAATAGGAAAACTAAGGCTATGTCTATACTAGCGCTTTTGTCAGTCGGGGTGTGAAACCCCCCCCACACCCCCGACCGACAGAAGTTTCACCGACAAATGCTCCAGTGTAGACATAGCCTTAGTTTCCCTACTCCTCTCCTGCCAAAATAGCTTCCGCCACTCTTTGGGGGTGGTTTAGTTCTGCTGACGGGAGATTTCTCTCCCGCTAGCATAGACCAGTTACACAGGAGACATTATAGCAGTGCAGCTGTACTGCTGTAAGGTCTGTAGTGTAGATGTAGCCTAATACTACTTACCTCACTGGGGAATTGTGTGGGGTTAAGTAGTTAATGTGTCTACAATGCTTTGAGCAAATAAAGTGCTGTAAATGACTAAGTATGGTGAAACATGTGCCTAACCATCACATTAGTTGTTGGCCTTCATGGCTCTGAAGCTGGGGAAGAAACAGAGAGGTAAATCGCTGCAGGGAGAAGGGACGGGGCTGGGGACTCCCCCGCCAGTGCTCAGTCAGATCCACCCAACCCCGTGCATCCATACCCAGACCCTTCTGCCAAGCCTCACTCCCTGCATCTGGAGCCCCCCTTCACCCAGCTCTCCCCAGCCCCATGCTCTGGCCAGTGGCTCCTACCCTGTTCCAGGCTCAGCTGCTAGGGGGAAGAGTGCACTTCCCCTGCATGGAGCAGCCAGGGCCAGGTTAGACCTACCCCCAGACACCTCCCCAGCTCTGCAGCCCACCCCACTTCCTGCCCCCATCATTCCTCAGCTGTCGGGGTAGGAATCACTGTATGGGGAGCTGCTCCAATGTCAACCCAACCCTTGTGCATCTGCCCCACTGAACCCCTACCCTGCCAAACCCCACCCCCTGCCTCTGGACGACTACCAAGTCCTCCCCCCTCCACCTGCACCCAGCCCTCTCACCCCCCCCTGCGGACCCCTGCCTACCGAGCCCCACCCACTGCATCTGGACCCTCCCTGCTGAGCCTCAACCATCTTCATCTGGACCCTGCTTTCAGACTCCCATTGCCCCTGCACCTGGAACCCCACACTGAGCTGCCTGCACCCAGATTGCCCCCCACACAGCCCTCTCACCCCACACCTGGATCCTCCCACACTAAGTGTTTCCACATTTGGATCCTGCTGGGCTGAGCCTGCCTGTCCACACCTGGTGCTTCTGTGGGGAGGGGCAGGTGCAGCCTCGCTGCCAAGTCTGTGTCCCGCGGTTGGGGAGACTGCAGGATGATCTCCCTTCTCCATGCAGCCAGTGATCTGTGCTCCCCTCTGCCATACTGAAGCCCCTACATTTATTTATTAACAAAACTTGCAGAATCTTTATTTTTTAGTACAGAATTCCCTCAGGAGTGTCAAGCAAGTTAGCCATACTTGAATATACAACACAGCATTCTTAACCATACCTCTTATAAGCTTAGTTTAAAAACAAAATCCCACACAAATCCCCTCTGTAAATGTGTGTACTGGGCCTATGCACAAAGGGCAAGACTTCGGTCAAACCAAAACTAAGTCTTCCCCAGAAAAACTTAAATGCAGCTTTTCAATGAAGGCTAATTTCGTAACCAGTTGTCAACTTTCTTCTCGGTTGTGTGGCAATTTCTTGCGGTATCTTGGAAAGAGCTCTTTCTGCATTAAGGTTTTGTACCGTTGTGGCCCAGTGATAGTACGTAATTCCATGGGGGAGGGTAACCACAGCTCCCCCTAGAACTAAGGCTCCTGTGGAGTGATTAGGCTAATATGTTCAGGTTGCAATCTCCAGAAAAGTACCACCACCTGAGTAGACTGCCATATGCTTGTTCAAACTGGATTCTCCAGAGACTGAGAGACAAAGAAAGGACTTTTGGTTAAATAGCCTGAGTTTAAACTGACTCAGAGCTTTCTTTCTAATCCAAGAATCAGTCAGGACCTTCTGTCCAAGGAGGGGTGCAATCCTTAGGTAAGGTTTGGAAGAACTGACACTTACCAGAACCCAGAATTGGAGGTGGGGTGACCTCTGTGGCAAACTTTTTAGCATGTATGTAGGTTCTTTATGCCATCATGTGCCAGCAATGCCCCTCTGCCATGTACATTGGTCAAACTGGACAGTCTCTACGTAAAAGAATAAATGGACACAAATCAGATGTCAAGAATTCTAACATTCATAAACCAGTCGGAGAACACTTCAATCTCTCTGGTCACGCAATCACAGACATGAAGGTCGCTATCTTAAAACAAAAAAACTTCAAATCCAGACTCCAGCGAGAAACTGCTGAATTGGAATTCATTTGCAAATTGGATACCATTAATTTAGGCTTAAATAGAGACTGGGAGTGACTAAGTCATTATGCAAGGTAGCCTGTTTCCTCTTGTTTTTCCTACCCCCCCGACCCCCCCCAGATATTCTGGTTTAACTTGGATTTAAACTTGGAGAGTGGTCAGTTTAGATGAGCTATTACCAGCAGGAGAGTGAGTTTGTGTGTGTATGGGGGTGGGGGGGAAGTGAGAAAACCTGGATCTATGCAGGAAATAGCCCGACTTGATTATGTAAAGAGTTGTCACTTTGGATGGGCTAGCACCAGCAGGAGAGTGAATTTGTGTGGGGGGGGTGGAGGGTGAGAAAACCTGGATTTGTGCTGGAAATGGCCCACCTGTTGATCACTTTAGATAAGCTATTACCAGCAGGACAGTGGGGTGGGAGGAGGTATTGTTTCATATTCTCTGTGTGTATATAAAGTCTGCTGCAGTTTCCACGGTACACATCTGATGAAGTGAGCTGTGGCTCACGAAAGCTCATGCTCAAATAAATTGGTTAGTCTCTAAGGTGCCACAAGTACTCCTTTTCTTTTTGCGAATACAGACTAACACGGCTGTTCCTCTGAAACCTGCTCACTTTTTAACATTTAGGCCCTTATTTATGTATAATGTATATCAACTACCTCTTCTGCAATGTGCAATATATATATATTTTTTTGGCTCTGACTTTCCAAAAAAATTATTTCACTTTTAACCAGGAGTAGAAAATTATTTCTGCCTGAAAGTTTTATATGCAACCGAGAATGGGGTAGAATGGAAACTACTAAGTGTCCTTTAACAATAGCTATTGCTGGTATTTCTGCTATAATATTTTAAGTCATCCATTTCCAATTATGTCCTGTTCTAAATATTTTTATATATAGTTTTTGTTACAAATGGTGAATTTCCTGTTTTTCTAAGATGCTGTATAAATAAAACTTTCTCAGTAGCAGCTCAGTCTTTCAAAGCACTCTTTATTTTTGTTGATGTTTAATATTGGAAATACATAAATACCAATAGTTTTGTTATGTTAGAGAGGAGTGTTTGTGTATGCACGCTCTGCTGTAGGAGATTGTAAGGATCTTAAATATATTTGTGACTGCTGGATTATGTGTGTTAATTATTGGTTGAAGGAATTACTGGAGTAGACTATTTTTATAATTGTTTTAAAACATGTCAAGAAGCACCCAGAGCAAAGGGCAGGTGCTGCTTTTTTATGAACGAGTACACGCCTCAAGGTCTCCAATACAGCATTGTGCTCTATGCAACACTGAGGCCCAAAAGAAAAATCTATATTTTGTCTTAATACAAAAGAGAAAACGATTTTTCTCTAATTCTGGGATCCCATGTATTGGCCCCTGCAACTTATATTATGTATCCAGTTTTTAAATAACTTACATTAACAATGTCTCTCTGGACTGGTTATATTTTTGCTTTAAAAAGTTGACTGTGTGAACAATATCATGCTCAGAATAAAGCCTTTCTCTTGTTGCTAGCTTTCAAAAAACTTAAGTGGCAGTGAGGAATTCATGTTATACAGTACCTTCCCCTCCTCCTCCTCTTTAGTAAATATACCTTTGCTCTGCCTTCTTCCTCCTCATCCCATGAAACACACTCATTATGTCTAGAGTGCTAAGCAGCAGGGAACCCTGTGTTCTTGCTGTTGTGTTTGTAAGTCATTTTGGGGATCTGGCACCGACCCATTTATGAGCATGCAGGTGGAGTCTCTGGCAAAGAAAACAAATGGGTGTTTCATCCGTGATAGGCTAGTGACCCGGGCTTGTTTTCTTCTTATCCAATCCTTCAGTTTTCTTGCCTTGACAGAATAACATGTCCATTTAAGGAGGTGGATTGTACCATGAAAACTTTATTGAAAAGGGGTTGCTCTGGGCTGTTTAGGCATCTGGGAGTAGAGCTGGAAAAAAGTCTTCTTTTCTGAATAAGAACAACATTTTACACTGATGTGTTACAGTAATGCTGATGAGCTTTTTAGGAAGTGTTAAACTTTTAAACCGGAATTGCTGAATCTGGGAAGCTGAAAATTCGGGAGCTGGTTAAACTCCCTGTAGATTTGGAATGCAGCAAGCCAAAAGAGGCCCTGAATGCCCGGATGTCTATCAAAATTAGTGTAATCCAATACTGAACTAGAGAGACTTAACTCAGGAACCTGTGTCTTTGGGAGTAGGGAGTTCAGTGACATTTTGGAGTGGGTAAATTTACAGAAACCAGGAAACGGAGCAAAAGTATCAGCAAATGGCAAATAAATTTTTGGCTGGGGGGTAGGGAGGGAAGTTGGGGGAAGGGGCTCATGGACAGAAGACATTTGCCATTATAAACTTCACTATGGCTGCCCAATCAAGGTAAGGAAATAAATAAACTTTTTCCACTGAAGGGGTTTTTTAATGTCCCCCAGTTGTCCTACTGAGCTGCATTTTCCTCTGTTACAGCTTGCTAGTCAGTTTAAAAATCGGATTATGGTAAAATGTGTCTGGATGACAATCCTGCATTTTAAGGTTAAACGTAGTATCTCTTTTCAGGATAAACTTGTGAATGGAAAATTTCATGAAATACGTTGAGTTAATAACTCCTTATCAAACCTCCTTTTCGAAGCAGCAAGTTTATCACTTCCTTCATTATCTTCTTTGTGCACTCGCTTTTTCTTTAACTGTATCTTACCAAGTGCAAAAAAAGGCACTTGTGGTAGCTTATAGTTAGGGTGAGAGTACGTAAAAGGTGGCTGAGCTGGATCTATATTATGGTTGCACTTGATTTCTTTCCTCGATCTGAAAAATTATCAGACTAAAATGGTAGCAGGTTTTTGTATGTGAATCTGCTGAGTAGGCAAAGGCTGGGAATGTGCTGTGGGGTTGTGAAGGGGAGAGTGTGAAAAAGAATAATTAACTCTAGTTGCTGTCACTTGAATGCTGTTGAAAGAAACCCCGGCAGACCTCCCAGCCTTGGGTAGGAATGCTTTTTTGTATGTTTATTTAAAAAGGGAGCTCTCAGAGCACCCATTTTACGTTTTGTGGTTGGGAGAAAATGAGTGTTGTTTACTGTAGATTTTGGAAGTCGGTGTTTTGGGTGTTGCTTTTTCTTAACATGCTAAAATGGTTTTATGAGGAAACCTCACAACTCAGTGTATCTTTTACCTGCCTTCTAGCATATAGACTGCAGCAATGGGCATATTAGAAATACCTAAGTGAGAAACTTTTACAGTGGGATAGTCCCAGCACAGCTCTCTTCCTTCCCCCCTCCTCCCGGGCCCGGCTGCCCGTGGTGGCATATCTAAATTGAAGTTTGGTACTGGCAACATTTCTGACTGCTGTACTCCTTTTTTTTCCCCCCCCCAATTTGAGACCAGGAACTGATGAAATTGTCAACTTCATGGTGGGGAAAACACTGAGGCTTTGGGAGGTGGGAATGGAGGTGGGAGTTCCTTATGAGGAGTTGAACTATTTTGGTAGCTAAACATGTCGGTCTGTCTCTGTACAAGGCGGGGTTCTATCCTTCAGAAAGTGCATTACTTTGCTAATATACAGATGCCTTCCTTTCCACGTTTTTTTCCTCTCTGCGATCACTGACCAATATGCCTTACAGGTCTGCATTATCAGTTCATTGCTTTAATATTCCAACGTGCTGAGAGAGGATCTAGCATAAAACTTAAGGCCTCTAGCTGGCCTTAAAGCATGGTTTAATTCCAAGTTCAAGGACATGCTTGAAGTCCCAGTGGTCACACTGTAATTTTCTTGGGTGATTATATGGGAAATAAATAAGAGGTAATATGGGAAATAAATCTGTGCCTAACCCCCATCCCCACCAGACTGACTGAATAAGGACAGGATTGGAGTTGTTGACGGATATCTGGTGCCCTATAAGAGAGGCATTGGGTTTCCAGAGTTAATGTGGCGTGCTGAAGGAACAGGGCTGTGTTAGTACTCAAATGGTGAACTCTAGGGTATCTGGTATTGTCTTAGGGTGGGTACTATGAGATGAGTGAACTGGGCTCTTCCCAAGTCTGCCATGTCAGAGTTGTGCAAATTTTCTTCTCGTGTACTGAGCTCCAAGGCTCCCTGCCATAAAGCTATATCAAGCCATTTCAACACAGCTTATAAGGAGGTAACCTCAACACACCATGAAGAAAAGAGGTAGTGTGTGATTATGGACATCTCTTGGGTGGGTGTAGGGGGATCATGGCTAGAACTTGCTTTGTGGAGTAGAAGGGATGTGCCTTGTGTTTTGGCAGCAGGAGTTAGGCATGTCATTTTACTTGATGGCATTGTGGTTGTGATATTATTTCTGTTTGAGTGATATTGGATAACAGTGATGTCTGTCCTCAAAGCAGACATTTTGTGCTCTCCTGCATGGAAAAGGTCCTTTGATAACCCTCCTCTTTCCTTTTCCTGTGTTTAAGTTCTGGTGTGCTGCACTGGGGTAAGAGAGAGCTCTCAAACAGGCTAGTTTTGAGGGAGACAATCCCTGAAGGCTTTCCTGAGTTAGATGGCATTTAAGGACAGAAGACAGATTATTTTCTAAATAGGAGAGGGAGTTAATGAAGGCCACGGACTGCTTTTTCTTTGGTGTGGAGGGGTGACCGTGAACCACAGTCAGTATTACTTTACCTGGATTTACCAGTATCTATTACCCTGGATTTTCTTTTCTTTTACCTTGGTGAGAAGATTTCATGGGAGATGTGAGTGGTGACGGTGCAGTGAAGGGCTTGACATCACGAGTGGGTTTTCTTAGTTTGTGCTTCAGTAAGTGACCTGTTTTTCATTTAAGCTATTATTGCCCATGTGCACAAGTTGAAGAAATTAAGTATATCACATGGCCATATGTGCAGCAATCAAGTGATTTCATATTTTGGAGGATGTTGAACAGAGAAATGGGACTGGAAACCAGAGAACTCCTAAATTCTAATCCCAGCTGTGCGCTGGCTTGTTATGTGGCCTTGGGCAGCTCACTGAACTTCTCACTGTTTCTTAGTCAGAAATCTACTGGTTGTTGTGAGCATGAGGACAATGCTCATCAGTTAAAAGTCAGCATGTGCCAAGAGGTGCTCCAGTTATTTCCTAGTCTATTTCTTGAGAGGTAAACGTAGTGTGTTAACTCTTGGGGATGCTGAACTTTTTAACGACGATCACTGTAATGAGTAAATGTGTGTATACAGTACTAAGTGTTGCATCGGAAATCTCTCTACAGGAAAATCCATTCTGTTTAGGCGTTAACATTTAAGCGGGGCAGGGGAATTGCCCACCAGTAACTTTCCCTGAAGAATGAGAGTAAACTAAGCTATTGATTTCTGTATAACCAACTTTTTTATTTTTCTAGTTTCTAGCCTAGATGCTTCAATGCCTTTGCTGCTCATCCTTTAAGTGTGGGCAGAGTAAAACTGACAAGTCTCTTGTCAGTTTCATGGCTGTTGTTCAGAAGTCTGTGACCAGGAACAAAATTAATTAGGACCAGGTCAGGTTCACTCTTCTTCTGCTTAGTAAAGCTGAAAAATTCATCAGACACCTAGTAGCCAGAGACGGATGTGAGCGATACAGCAAGACTCCAAGCAGTGGCGTAGCCAGGTGGGAAAAACAGGGGGCGCAGAGATGGAAAAAAGGCACCACCTGCTAGTACTCACCCGGTGGTGCTCCGGGTCTTCGGCGGCGGGTCAGGCGGCAGGCCGTGTCTTCAGCAGCACTTCAGCGTCGGGTCCTTCACTTGCTCTGTTCTTCGGCTCTGAAGGGCCCCCCACCACCACGGCAATGCCGCTGAAGACCGGAGGGAGTGAAGGACCTGACGCCGAAGTGCTGCTGAAGACCCAGAGCGCCACCTGTCCCACCGCCAAAGACGGTGGGGGAGCAGCCGGGGGAGTAAAAATTTAAAAGGCACCGAAGAATTAAAAAGGCACCACTTCTGCTTGGTGGGGGAGCAGCCGCTGCTCCACTTCCCCCCAGCTGCGCTACTGACCCCAAGTATGGTCTACGGATAATACTCTGGTAAGAATCCCACCATTCTGCTGCTCCTTACCAGCACTTGTACTGGGGCTGTCACTAGGATGCTGCCTCTTCACCTAAATGTCTGGGCTCCTCATAGCTTATATGGGCTTCTGGCTAGTAGATTTAGGTCCAAATATTCGAAAGTGGCTTAAAATTTTAGGTGCCTCAGTTTTTGGATCTCCAGCTAGAGGCATCTTGGGTCTGTGTGGTTCTGAGTTTTATTTTTTGTTTAAAAGATGCTCAGGTTGGCCGCCTGAAAGTTGAGGCTTTCAAAACCTTTTGAAAAACTAGATCTCCTTTCTCAGGCCGATAGGTGTCTTGTAAACATTTCAAGCCCTATATGTAACAGCTTGTTGAAACTATAAATTGCTAAGGACTCTGTATTCATTCTTCTTTTTGTCTTGCACAGCCATATTCCCAAAATACCAAGTTATGAAGTGCGAAACAGTTCGTCTCCCTAAGTGTTGTGTGTGTGTGTGCCTGCATGGGGGGATCAGGGGTGAACGGCATAATTCCTACATGGTGGTGGGAAGCGCCACTGCAAACAAGATCGTTATTTGCAAAACCGAGTCTATGTTTGAAAACTGGTAAAAACAATTTCTCAGTCTTCGTAAGTACTGAATATTATGGCACTGTCATAAAAAAGAAGAATCGGTAGGCATGAACGTTGGGTATCCCACAGGTCTGTCTTTTCTGTTGTATCTCAGGATGTTGTTTC